AAAAAACAAAATACTGTAAAATACTTTATTTTAGCTGAAATTAATTTTCGCTGAAAAGACTTTTGGGGAATTTTGTATGTAATTTATTCTCGATGATTTTTGATGAGTTAACATATAGAGAAAAAAAGTATATTCGCTGCATTTTATTTTCACTGAATAATTTCTTCAGCAAAAATTAATTCTGAGCGAAAATAAAGTATTTTACAATAATTTGTAAACTTAATTGTTGAATTTGGCTACTCCTGAAAAATGTTAGTGCCTGGAAAAGATTTAGTATCCATGACGATTGTGCCGTGCACACAATGTGCGAGATCACGTAGTGAACGAAAAATCGTCTATTGATACTTGATGTGAGTTTTTTTTTTTTTTTTTTGTGCCAGGCGTCAGTTCCAGACATTGAATGTCACTGTTGTATCTCCTGACTTTTCTTTGTATGTGCAAATTGCAAGTGCAAGTGCTGACACATACATTTAGTGCATTTTGCCACAGAAGTCATTTCCTGTTTGGGACTACATGTTGTTTTTATTTGCAGCTAAAGTTGGAAGAAACACTGAATTAAGCACCGGCTGTATAATTGGAGCCTCGTGTGACGTCAGAAGTCAGGAGACGTTGCCGGATAACACGGTCATCTTTGGCGCCTTGTGTAACCGTCGACTACAAGCTGAGAGACCACCCGTATGTATTCTACAGATCACCGCCTTGCATTCTTTTTGTCTCGTTGATTTTAGTCTGAAGACTTTATGCAATGTTTTATTGATACACTGTACTGTGTATGAAATCAACAATCTGATGAACGGAGTAGTAAATAAATAAACGTTATTCGAACCGATAAATATGATATGTAGTAGATAATATGTTGTTCCAAGTAACTGTTCGAAATAAGTAGGCACTTCGAGCAACGGCTTTTTATCGATGGGAAAAATGTTATCGATAAAGAGCCATTACTTGAACTGTCTAGCTATTTTGAATAGTTTAAGTACTTAGGACAACAATTACAAAATATAATCTACTACCGTATATATCCGTATGATGAACAGTTGCTCTTTAGTTTAATTCAATTATCTGTCTGAAAATTGTTCCAGAAAAGACAAAATCAAAATTATTAGTTCTTAATTTCATCTAATAGAGACAAATTAAAAGAATACTTTGTATTCATGTTTCCATCAGTCTGACATGATTATAATCTTCCCACTGTAAAGCATTTAACTTGAAAAGAAAATTGTATTGTTTTCTAAAATGACATGCCAACATGACTACCTTGTGTGTAACTAAAACGTGGTCTTTTTATTTACAGCCACAGACACTACAGTTGGATTTCCTGATGAAGATACTGCCAAATTACCATCATCTTAAGAAAGCTACAAAACACAGACAAATTGAAAAATAACCTTGACACTTGACACGTATGGATGACACTGGGATGCGTTTACCGATATGATGCAAGTTTCATGTGGGTGACACTCGATGCAGTTACCGATATGATGTGCATATCATTATTCTCTGAATGACATTATTCATTACTATGTATATTATTATTATTATTATTATTATACTTCTAGCATTAAAAACAATTGGCTTTACCGCTCTGTAAAAATCAATCTAAACGTTCAATCTAAATTTACTTTTATGTATTCTGGATTATTAAAATCACATCTGAAATCTTTTGGGTTTTTGTTTACAGTGTAAGCAGAAATGCTGAAGTGTGCAACAGCAATGGAATCCCATCACCAAACGCAAATTTTCCTACAGGGCAAAACATTCTTCATTGTCATATCTCGTTGTTATATCTCATTAAATTATTACTACAACCAGAAAATGATGTATCATGAGGATACCGCAAAGTATGCACTCAGGCAGTATAGTAGTAACGCATTGATGTTGGCTGTCTTTATTTGCCCTTGATCTAATATATTGAAAAATTTTGTAGTACAAATCCTGTGTAATAGAACATTTTCTGGTCACTGCAAGACCTTGTGTTAAGCATGAAATCAAACATAAAAACAGGACAAACAAAGGTCATAGTGTTGTAGTGGCTACAAAACATAGCATGAGATTCGAGAAACTTGAAAGTAGTTTTTTTATGTATTTTCATGCCTAATAATGTGCTATACACATTTAATGGTGGTCAATTTTTGATTTTTGAAGAAATTTCATCTCAATGCCATATTCTTCTGTGAAGAATTTCAACAGCTATAAGGAAGAAATTCAAGTTCAGATTCAATTCATTTTTCAGCAGACATTTGTTTCACACGATACGCAAGATCTCTCAGTTAGCAGAAAATCACCAATTTAGTGATAGTTGTTGATATTGTATCTCATTGGGTCCATATTGAATACATATTGACTTGCCATGAGGGCAATAGCATATTTTGATGGGTCAAGTCATTATGTGTTAATAACGCATCACACTCGGCATGAACACATCAATTAATAAACGTTCTATAAAATGTAATCAATCTACTTTAGACACTTGATTTTAAGCAGTAAATATTCCCAGTAACAGTGGTCAATAAAGTTCAATACATGTAGCAATTGCATGTCAGTATTCCGGCTTAGACACTGAATAAAAACATGTATCATTAGACTAGACTTGCACTAAACTCCTCCTGTGAGAGGTGCATTAGTTTTGAGATATAGTTAAAGCCTGGGATTTAGTTATGACAGAATCTGGAAATAGTGTGTTATAACACTGAATATAGACCTTCATTTAGGTGTTTATTTCTGTTTTTTATAACTCTAAATGTTGACCTTCATTGAGGTGTTTATTTTTGTCTTGTATATCACTGAATATTGACCTTCATTGAGGTGTTTATTTCTGTCTTGTATAACACTGAATATTGACCTTCATTGAGGTGTTTATTTCTGTCTTTTATAACTCTAAATATTGACCTTCATTGAGGTGTGTATTTCTGTCTTGTATAACACTGAATATTGAACTTCATCAAGGTGTTTATTTCTGTCTGGTTTAACACTGAATATCGATGAATTGTGTACTGTGAGTTCAATACTGAATAGAAATACTATATTTGCTCTTGCATGCAGTAAACCTAAAAAAATATTTTCACTTCATGTTTTAAGGACAAAAAATTCTTGTGACTGAAAAGTT